TCTTTTTTAAGCTGGGAAAGAATTAGACATCTTATGTAGCAGTAGAACTTCTGTCCTTATAGATGAACCAACTAAAACCAGATAGTTGAGGTGGGCAGCCTGGGTCACCTACCAGGTAGGGGCGAAGGTGGCCATGCCCAGGGCTCCTAACTAACTCTTGAGCCATCTCCTCTTCATCATGTCTGCATTCATTCCATAGATGCTTGCTGAGGACACTGTGCAAGTTACTAAGCCAGGCTGCCTTCTTTTTACTGAAAATCCTAAGATTTCCATAGAAAAAAAATCATCGTGAAAATCTTTCTAAAAATAAAATAACCTTGCAATCATTATTTGTTATTTTTTTCTATGAGTGAAAATTCCAGAGATTCATGTGTAGCTATTGTGCTGTATCACAATAATAATAAAGGGATTGTTTTCAGTATTCATGTGGCTTGGTCAGTCACACCAGATGTTTGGTGGTTGTCATTTTTCTCTGTTTGCAATTTGTCTCTAACATGCCCTGGGCAACAGATCATTTTCTGTGCAGAAATATTCTTTACAAATATTCATGCAGCCTCGCATATCTGATCTTTTATGTATATCTTCATTTTCTTTGTGCTAAAGTTTGCCTTGTGATTTGAGTATATTTTCTAATACTTTTTTTTGGGGGGGAGGGCGGCTGGCCAACATGGGGGAACTGAACCCTTGACCTTGGTTTTACCAGGCTGCCCTCTAACCAACTGAGCTAACTGGCCAGCCCTCTAATACATTTTTAAATTAAAGAAGCTGAAGTATATGTTCACAAGTACGTGAGCTAATGTAAGAGGAATACCAGCCTGCTTTTTATGTTGTTCTTACTCATTCCTCTTAAGTAGAAGATCCCATTCAGTGGCCTCTCTTATCATTTCAAAGCTGATTACCACATAGTTTTGTTTCCTCATATTTCTCCAGTATCCAATATCTGTAGCAATCTCAACCTTTGTAAACAGATGGCATTTTATTACCAACTCAAACTAACATAATGTCACCTCCCTTTTATTTATCTATTTATCTATCTATCTTTGGTAAAGTTGGCATATTTTATACCTTGCTCACTGTGTCTTGCTTTATATTTTAAAAAATATTTACTTATTTATCTTTGGTAAAGTTGGGCATTTTTCATACCTTCCTCACTCTCTTGCTTTATGTAAACATTCCCCTTTTATTTAAATTCTTTCTAATCTATTCCAAATCTATCTCATTTTAAATTTCTCATTTTCTCTGAAACTTATTTTTCCAAGAGATTTTTTCGAAATGGCAAACTGGCTAGAAGGTCCTTGGAGTCTGAATTCCCCCATACCCAAAGCTCTGCCCCTTAGATAGATGGAGGGGGCTGCACAAGTTTGTCTGTAGCTCTGCCTACCCTGGGAACTGGACGAGGCAGTTTACTGCAGTTTGTTCTTAACCAGAAAGCGGAACTTCTGCCCTTTGCCTTCCTCTTGTGCCATCTTACCACTCTGAGTCTTGTCTTTTCCTCTCTACTTTGAAGTTAACCCTTTCTATCTTCTTTTGAATCATTTTGCCTTTTCATTAACAATGAATTAGTGGGTGCTGGGTAATACTTATTATTATTATTTTTTTTTGTCTTTTTCCTTGTCCGGCAACGGATCGCAACCCTCAGTGTTGCCCCCATACCGGAC